ATTTGCCCATTTGATTCAGCACTGCTATGAGACAACGCTATAGTAAGAATTAAGGCCCGCGCTAAAGCCAGTAGCTTTGAATTTGAGTTTATGGGGAAACTAAGCTTAATCTAGCCCTTGAAAGTGAATAATTGAAGTTTAAGAGAGATTGGCAATTGAAGGAGTTAATAACATCCAACAGTGGAAACATTTTTTGAGAAACTCTGTACTCATGAATAGTTGATTTATGACTAACATTTGCTTCTCCAAGTTCTTATAAAAGAATTGATGAGTGACTATAATTGTCATATTATCACAGGTGGTCGAGCCCTGGTGCCAGATTGATACGTGGAACGGAAGGAATGCTTTTTCCTCCGTTTCTTAAAAAATCTGAGAGAATTTACGTGTTTATTAGCCAGCTCTGCAGGTAAGCGGCCAAGTAAAAAAAAAAGAAGGCCGCCGTTCACCTTGCTTTTTCAGATCAGTTTGGCTGGAATTTCAAAAGGAAGTGGACTATAAAGGGGTACCTGCTTATAGATTCTGGCTGCCACCAGAAGTATTCGATCCTACGTCACCGGAGAATGAGGGATATTGTAACCCTACAGACAAGGTGTAGTCTTCTTCATTAGTTATTTTCACTTCTTTCACTTAATACCTTTCCAATATGAGCTGATTCAAGATAAGCTGATTAAGGCCGCCTTATATTTATAGAAATTTTTTGGATCGCAAAACATAAGCGACGATTGTTTTCCCGCTGGATTACTGGAGATTAGCAAATGCCAGCGAAGCAAGTTCCTCTTGACTAGCATTGATGGTTCCTATTACCACCCCATAGCACCTCTTTTAGGTCAAGCTCCAATCATGATTTCACTACCAAATTTCAACTTTGCCAGTGATGAAGTGCGAGAATCAGTCAAAGGCTTAAACAGTACAGATCCAGAACGAGACATTATAATTGTCGACATTGAGCCGGTAGGAAAATTGTTTAGCTTACTGCCATCAATTCTCTGTAATTCTCCAAACAGAATATAGAAAAATATAGAATGACAATTTAAAACTTGATGTAAAACCATGTCAAGCGTGAATTCAATCGCTTATTAGAAAAAGAAATTTGCTCAAAATCTAAGATCATCTGTGAGATGTTATGAGTTCGTGTCCCTTTTTCACCGCTACCACATACTTATTGTTAG